AACCAATAGATCCGTTTTGGAAGAAGTGCAGCCAGAGTGCTCCTTGGAGGCCAGGATGGCCAAACTTCGTCTCTCATACTTTGGACATATGTCAGGAGGGACCAGTCACTGGAGAAGGATATCATGTTTGGTAAGGTGAAGGGTCAGAGAAAAAGAAGAAGACCCCCAGCAAGATGGATTGGCCAAGTGGCAGCATCGATGGACTCAAGCGTGGCAACAGTAGTGAGTTTGGCCCAGGATCAGGCAGTGTTTCATTCTGCTGTGCATAGGGTTGCTATGAGTCGGTACCAACTCGATGTCACCTAACAACAACAACAACATGGGCAAAATATTGAATGGTGCAGAGCATCAAAAGAAGATGGAAGAAATACACAGAGTCATTGTACCAAAAATAAATAGTTGATGTCCAGCCATTTCAAGAGGTAGCATATGATTAAGAGCCAATAGTACTGAAGGAAGAAGTCCAAAGCACACTGAAGGCATTGGCAAAGAACAAGGCTGCAGGGATTGATGGAATACAAATAGAAATCTTTCAACAAACTGTTGCAACATGGGAGGTACTCACTCATTTATGCCAAGAAATTTGGAAGACCTGGCCAATTTGATTGGAAGAGATCTGTATTTGTGCCCATTCCAAAGAGAGATGACCCAATGGAATGTGGAAATCATTGGGCAACATCATTAATATCATATGCAAATAAATTTTTGCTAAAGGTAATTTAAAAATAGCTGTAACAGTGCATTGGCAGGGAATTGCCAGAGGTTCAAGCCAGATTCAGGCAAGGTTGTGGAACATGGGAAATCACTGCTGATGTTGTATGGACCTTAGCTGAAAGCTGACAATACCAGAACCATGTTTATCTGTTTTATTGACTATGACTGTTTCATTTATGTGCTTTATTGACTGTGCAGAGACTTTTGACTGTGCGTGTCATGACAAGCTATGGATAACATTGCAAAGAATAGATACTCCAGAACAATTAATTGTGCTCATGAAGAATCTGTACATAGACCAAGAAGCAGATGTTCAAACAGTACAAGGGGCCACTGAATGTTTTAAAATCAGGAAAGGTGTG